AGTCCCCATGAAATATGCAAATTGATCATTTATCTCTTCCTATATTCCAAATATACGTGGAAGAATCAATATCAGAGTACTTTTACATTAAAATCCGAGTCTTTTCTCTTCATATAAAATGGTTTTAAATGTTCAATGACTCATCCTGAACTCAGGGGCATTTCAAAAGTTCATCCAATCAAATGAGACTTTAGGAGAACAGCTGGTCACACCAGTCATAGTAAACCACCCTTCACCATTTGTGGGTTGTTGGAGCTAGCTAACAGAGCCATGTAGAGAGAAACAGGAAGTGATTTGGGTTTATATATACGTTGGCAAAACCTTTGTTTTCATTTCCAAAACAGTGTGGAGGAGGTCTAATTCATTCATCTCTCCTTCATCCTCCTCATTATGTAACAGCGAGGGAGGTGTGCATGGAGCCAACAGTTCACTCCCCTGGAGCTCTGTATCATGCAGAACTCTAGCCCTGCCCATTCATTTTTTTCAGTTAATAATTGTATTAATTAATTAAAATTAAATTCTGTGATTACATTTGAATGAGTAAAAGGTTTGGGTGTTTGGGTGCCACACTCCAGGCTCAGTTGTTTTCAACCTAGAGTCTGCTTAAAAGACTACACCAAGTTTCTGGCATTTTAATAAATGAACCACAACTTTACTATAATAACAATAATCAGTACAAATGGCAGATTGTCTGTTCCACTGGCTCATGGGGCACTAGAAAATTTGAGTTTGGAGAAACTCTTCAAATATATGCTGCAAGGTTTAGATTGTTGTAAACAGGACAACATTAAAGAAGTATGAGCTCCAATTAATGTCAATTTTTGACTTGAATTTCGGCCACAACAATTCTGAAATTTCTATTGAAACTCAATCAGGAACAGTTAGGGCCATCTATGTACATAAAACATATTTTAATAAATTGTACATGACTCTCTTCCCAGTGATACTGTGACAAGTATTCATTCCCATCCACCATGTAAAATAAGAGGCCCATACTGTCTCTGTATTTCTCCGTAGAGTCATATTTTAAACAAGAAGCTGGACTTCAGTCACACACTCACAAAGTGCAGCTCCAAGGATAATCTGAAGCACTCTTCCCGTGGAGGCAATGTATGTACCCTTCTGTCGTGACCAGTTGCTTCCCCCCCTCTTTATCCTTAGATGGAGGAGAAGTGTGAGTGACGTGCAGCAAGTTGCTTGTTGTGCCTCGCAAACCTGGATACATGGCTAGCTTGATGGTCTAGTATCATAGGAACCTTAGTTTGCACTCCCTTTTTTTCCACCACCATTTGATTCTTACCCCTGAACCTTATAACTATGAATGTAATTTATTGTTGCCCCTTTCATACTCTGTGTGGGGTTAATCAGTGTAACTTTTAAAGCATAGCTTTACAATTATGACACAATACAACTTTGTCAATTTACAGAGGAATTTATTTGGCATTCTGAGGCAGCTCTGTGTACACCAAGTTGAACAGGCAGTCACACATGACACTTATAATAGATGTACAAAACATGTCAGACAGTCATGACAGTTATACATATAAAATTATTATTATTAAGATCAACAGGGTAGACTGATGTATAAAAGCATGGGCAGTGGGCAAGAGAAGAAGAAATACTGTTAGCAAGGTTGTTATGCTAAGCATTACCTTACTGACATATATATGAGCAGAAAAAAAACAGCAACTGGTCTGACAGTGTCTGATTTTAGCCACCGTTCTGCTGTGAGCGCAGTGCCATAAAACCCAAAATAACCCAACTGTCTGGCACCAAGGTGGCCTCATGGTTTGAGAAAGCCAGATGACCAAAACCATATGCTGGCTAATGTCTGCCAGGCTCAAATATCATTGCACAAGTCACTTTATATCCTACCAGTCCTATCTAACAGCTGTGGCTTGACTTCCCACTGGAGTGGGCTGAATATGGAGGAAATATTACCCACTGACATCACTGCCATTAATTTCCTTTGGCTAGTGTCACATATAGTGATCCTTTAAAATTGTACATATTGTGTCTTGTCTGGTGTTTAGTAGTTAGTTCTCACTCTCTTTTTGCATCTATTGGAGATGTCACAGGAGACTAGTAGTTGCTCCACCACCAAGTTAAATTGCAAATTGTTCTAGTAAATTCTAGCTTTTGCCTTCCCTGGTAATGGCACTGATTTTCAGTTTTCTTCACATGAAATGTCATGATTCATGATGTCACCCAAATGAAACTGGCTTTGACCTTCCTTCCTCCTTTTTTGCCTCACATCCATCAATGGAATAAATGCTTGCTTTCAGCATAAGTCAAAGCATTGTGAGGTTTTATGAGTCCGATGCTATGCAGACGACAAATGTAATTTTTGTTTAAATTAAAAGATTTGAATATTTTGCTGTTATTGTTCATTTACAGTGCTGCACTGTGGACAGGTTGTAGTCAAAAGAAAGGAAGGCCTGAAGCATTTCTATTATTTTTAATTAGGAACAAATGACCAAACATTAGCCCTTATTAATTACCATAAAGAAATGAACAGTGTTTGCAAATGAAACAGCTTATGTACAGCTTCATTTCTAATTTCTAACATTTAATTCAACATTCAGGATTGCTCACTGAGGGCAATTTCTGTAGCCCTTTATTGGTTGAGAGGACTGTTTAATTTCAACTGTGGTTTATTCCCTGCATTTGTCTGCTTATTTAAGACCAGAAGTATCACTTATGAGAACATTTGTCTCTATAGTTGGTGGAGAGTTTTACATTATTTAGTAAACTGTAACTCGAAAATAAAGGATGTTTTGTTGCCTCTTGCAGCTGTAGACTGAGAAAAATAACTTAATTCACTGGGCCGACTGCCGGCAACTTTGAAGGTGGAACTTTTACTTGTAATGTTACTCAATGCATGAGGTGAAGACATGAGTCAATCAACACACCTTAAATATTCCATATGACAACTTCGACCATCACTTTAGTTTTTATATGACATACACTTTTAGTAATGAGTGGATCTTCAAGTGTTAATATATATTAATTTCGGGCGGGTTATGTAAACTGCATGTATTCTAATCCTCACTTGGAGAAAAACAAGCCTGGCGGAGTGACGTTCCTGTGGGCTCCACCAACACTAAACCCCTGAGCTTGCTTGAGAAAGACTAAATGCACAAATCTGCCACTTTTAAATATCCCAGTGAGAGAGACTTTCACTGCAGCCTGTTTTATTTTGTTCTGAAATGTCCACATGCAGCCTGTGTGGATGATAAATGAGGCACAGACTGATAAAGGAGGAAATACAGTGAGTGCTGGACGGAACAGTGACAACAACTCCTCCCGCATTTAAGGGCACTGTTTGCAGTGGAAACGCTAGGGTCTAGGTACCATGTCTGAAAGGTTACTTTTGGTTCCAAAGGTACCATACCAAAAGTGTTTGGTGGAAACGGGGAACATGTGGCTCAATATCGGGAAGGCAATATCAGTAGACAGCGTGCTAATTACCTCTGGCAAGGAGTTTATGTTTTCGCCGGTGTTGGTCTGTTTGTGTGTTTGTTTGTCTGCAGAATAACTCAAAAAGTTATGAACGAATTTTGATGAAATTTTCAAAGTGGATAAAATAATAAAATAGCGCTAAATAGCACTGTGTATTCACCGAGTTTTAGAATGGACTCATTCCATGACTAGACGTGCGCCACCGGTTGGCAGTGGCGAGTAAATAACCTGATGCAAATAACCTAATTGTGATGCAGGCTGCAAAATCTGATGCAGAGGGGGAGGGAATATCACCTACTTGGCTGAGGTCTGCACTCTCTGAGTGCTTTCCTAGTTGGGAAATGGATGCATGCTTAGTCATCTACCAACAAACACTTCTCTTTCCCCTTGTTAAGACTTGAAGGTTCCACTTTCTTGTCTGTCATGTCTGTCTAGTACACTATGTCGTATACTTACAGATGTAAGAGGTATATATATATATATATGTATATATATATATGTACTTTAATTCTATGCTTTTGGTTTTATATGGTATATTCTTATATTGGGTGTTTACGCAATTTAAAGTATTGTCTTGGTCCACTCAGGTTTACCTCCTTATGGTCTTTCCTCTCCTCTCCGTTAGAGCTCTTTAGTGCCTCTGCCACAAAATGCATTGACTTTATATGTATGTAAGTCTTTTTGCTACCTAGTGTTGTTCCCATTGCTTTTACTGTGCTGCTGGGTACAAATGTATTTATTGTTAGTGTTATGTACTTTACCAACTCTGCTGTGTCTGCATCTCACTCCTGCTTTCTCTCCCTGCAGTTACAAAGAGTCATTTACCATCGCAGCACACACATGTTTTATCATCCTCTCACCCTAAACGAATGGTCTCAAGTTTAATTTGCATTTACTTGAGTCTGAAGACAGGAAATGCAAAACCATAAAGGAAATTCTGGCAACTTATTCAAGTATGTTCTTGTGACGCACAGTGTGATGTCAAGATTTTCTGAAGGTTTTGCACTCCTTTCAGGACTCAAAGTCTATCTGAAGATAAATAATTCCAGAGATATCTTGAAACGTCATGATATTCTGCTACGGCGCCATTTACTGAACTATATACAAACCCCCTTGTGGCTGAAACGCACACTAACTAGTTTTGTCTCCAACTGGAAAGCACTGTTTGTTGAAGGGAATATAGTGTTTTAAAGAATGTGATGATTGTTCGAGGTTGGCCGAGAGTAAAGAGGATCCTCTTGAGGAGTCACCAGATGTAGCCAGAAACTAAGGTCATGTTTGATACATAAGCCAAGCTGACACAGAGTCAAAGTTCATGCTGGGCAGTGAGATGGATATGTCTTGCCCGTTAGCTTCGAGTCATTTATATCCTTTGAATGTTGTTTGTCCAGATCAGGTTCAGGTCAAATATGACTGCCCACATTACAAACAAACTCAGACATCTTGTACAAGTATTTAAACAGACATTGTAAAATCAAGTGCCATGCCAGAAAAGCCCAAGCCTTCTCCCACCTCATTCCTCACCTCCGCCCCTGCAGGTTCTCATCCCCAGTGTTAAGCTGGACTATAGCCATGTTCAGTCTAGGTGTGGGTCCTTGGACAGGCGGGGCTACTCGGCAGGAGGTGGAAACGTGAGTCTTGTGCCGCAAGTCCATTGTCTCAGTGTTCATGTCAGTGTGATTTCTCTGTTGTGTTGTGTTTTTTCAGTGTTTCATTTTCCTTTACCTTCTCGCTTCACAGTTTATTATTTAGTCACTCACTCATAAGGCTTTACCTGACTGCTCCTGATCGACACGGCATCCCCTAATAGTGGTTTGTGTCCTGCGAGGATTTTCAATACTAAAGGCTGCATGTCTCCTCCTTCAACACTTGATAACATTCAGGACAGTAGCAGCTTTCGACTTTGTAGTATGGCCCGAAAAAAATATCACTATATTTCAGGGTATTTTTGTGAGAATTATATTTTTGACGATACAACAAAATACTGAAATAATTTGGTTATTGATTTCAAGCACATACAATTGCAACAAAATAAGTGCTTAGCTTTATGTGTCTAAATGCATAAAGTTTGCCTTTTAATATTCAATAAAGACTAAATAAAAGTTATCTGTCAGTACTTTACTTTGTAAAAGAAGAAAATGAAACCACAAATCTAGTCATAGTAAAAAGGAAAAGTAAAACATAAATAAATATTGCACTTAAAAACACACACACACACACACACACACACACACACACACACACACACGACATTAAGCCTATTGCACAGATCCCTTTGTACTGCACTCAAACATATCCACAGTCAAATTTTAGTGCATTCATTAAGTGCAGTTATTGCTTTAACCTGTTTGTCCTTGTTTTAACTGCTCTGTACCTCCTGCCCAAGAGCAGCAGTTCAGACAGGCGGTATCCTGAGTGGGATGGGTCCTTCAGAATGTAACACCACTGATTCCACACAACTGAAGTCCCTCCCCTTTTTAGAACGAACTCCTGCACCGTGGAGCTGGTAGCAGTTTCGCTTTCAGCCATGCTGTGCGTAACAGTATGACGTCATTATGTCACCAAGTTGGAATATTCCCATTATCACAATATGATTTTTAAAAAATAGTATCAGATACTTTAGCTGGTATTATCAGGAGCAATATGATGTGGCACATTCCTAGATATTATATTTGCTATGATTGGTGGAAGTTCACTTTTAAGGGCTTAAAACATTACGCAAATGCCTTTTATGAATGTAGTGCTAGTGTGTTTTACTTTTATCACACATTAGAGGCACTGCTCAGTATCAAAGCATGGTGGTGCAGGTTTGATGATAATAAGACAATTAAAACATCTTTCTTGACTTTACATTACCTCCCTCAGGATCATCTCCTCTCATCAAACCTCTTTTAAATTGCATCAGAGAACTCAGGGTTACTGGAGCAACAGAGCCATTTAGCATCTTCCTTCTGAGAGGTTAAAAAAAGTGATGTCAGATGTGTTGCATTTGTAATTGCAATAAAGGTTTACCTGTGACTGAGATGAACAATATTATGTGACTCAGCAAATTCATGGCTGGTAATAAAGGCTGTGTGGGTCACTGTGATTCTAAATTGTGTATCATTACACACAGAACACATGACAGTCACTGCTCTTTTAATATGTACAGAATCATGAATTCAACCTAAAGAGACATGCAACATTGGTGGCATGTTTTTGCTAGCAGATGGAGCGTGATAAATAAACAAAAGACAATTCATTTTTCAGATGTAAGCCACTGCCAAACTTGCTCACCCAAAAATAAAAGTAAAATAATCTCTGCTGTCTAATCTTACCTGGGAAAGCTAAACAAAAAGAAAGTAACCATCCATTTTTCTATTTAACTACGTAGTGACATGCTTACATTGAAGGATAATAATGAAAACTTAAAATCACAAAACACTGTGCCTCAGATTCTCAAGAAGAAGAGTCTCATCACCAAGATTAATATCTGATGTCACTCCACAATGAGTGACAAATGGCTCAAAGGTTGACTGCTCACTTTCACAGCTGCACAACTGACAGTTCATGCGGCTTTTTGCAGCGAGCACATAAACTAGGAGAGTAACAAGGGGAAGGCCAAGGCCACAGGGTTTGTTGGCTGAGTTGTTGAAGCACTTGAGTGGATCTTCACAGCTTTATGAATGGACCAGTGTTGAAGACGGAATGGCATAGTGCTGCTTTTTCAGACTGTTAACTGTCAAGGATGAGTGTAATAGATGTATTTCTACAGGCAAAGGCTGTAACATTGTCCTAATATAAATCTTATCTTATAAATCTCGGTGGTGGTCTTCACTCTTCACTCCACTCCAAAACTGTACTGTTCATCAGGTTAGGAGGTTAAATCAGCTCCTTTCATGCATTTTAATGTGATTGGCTCTGAATGAGACAGCATCTGGAAAGGCTTTTAATTTAATTTAATGTAATTTATTGATATTAAAATATCATAAATTAATCTTTTAAAGTCTTACAAATGCTAAGACATGGGAGGTAGGATTTTATGAATCATTTTTGCCATTGTATTGTAAAATCTCAAAATAATTGGACACATCATGAAAAGACAAATAATTTAAAAGAATAAATAGAATATCTCTAGCATTAACATCACACATATCACTATAGCTGAACCAACAACACTCATATTTTGCTCAGAGCAGAGGATCCACCATTGAACCTTTTTTTTAATCTTAAGTAAATCCTTTCAATCTTAACACGATGAAAATTAAAACAGTCGAATCCCACATGTAGAGTGAGAAACACTATCGCCATTTCCCAGTTCTATTTCACCCTCTACCATGAGACAAAAAAAAAAATCATGTTTCATGTTTAATATTTGGGCAAAATTGCCTCTTACCCTAAATAAGTGATACCAGTTCATGTTTTGTTTCCCCTCAATTTCAGTTATTCTAAAATTAATCTTAAATCTCATTATGACTGGCATAAAAAAGTCTTAAAAAATCTGGATATAGGTTATACTTTTAAGAAGAAAACTTGACTTATATGTATATATAAATATCATTTGCATTTGTCTAGGTCAAGTATATTGTAGACTAGAGGTTTATCATCTAAATGCTTCATCAGTTCTCTTTTGAATAACTTAAAATAATTGAAGCTGGATATCATATTATATCACTAATGGGTATTTAGGCTCAAGGTTTGTCTTATTTTACCCCACAAGGTGCAAAATCACCAAGTGTACCTGAAGCAAATTTTAACCCTCTGGAGTCTACGAACGCACCAGTGCATCCAAAGCAAGACACAGCCTCACTGAGTCTCAACTTGTGTCGAAAGTGTGAACTTCAAACTATACACCATTTTTAAATTGTATTGATAGGCCAAGTAAAACCAGACATATGATGAATAATTTACACCATGCTTTTTCCTGAATGTTGTCGTCATGTTTGGTGCGCGTTTGTTGCAGGAAGAAACTGTAAAAATGGCTATTGTAAGGAAAGTGCTCGCAAGCAGGAAAAAAAACATGACACCCCTTTCCTATTGGAGGTGTTTTTTGTGTGATTTTAGCTCCACTGTGTTAATACAGTATGTCAGAATGAAAAATAACTGTAAAGTCACATAGGTGAGGTTGTGCTGAAAAAAATGACACCAAATAAGGCAAGTTATGGTAATGAGTTTTTAAAGTGAAATCAAAAGTAGTCAAAAATCGCCAATTTTACCCTTGATCCCAAAGGGTTAATGCTTTATAATGTAGCCCTTTATTTGTTGTTAAATATGCACTTGATGTTCCTTTGTGGACCTTTCCCATCCTGTCAGTCTGTATTAGAACCAATCATGCAAAAGAAGAATCATCAAATGTAGTGTGTTCTCTGTAAATCATGTGAACATGCTCATAGGAATGAAACAGATTCCAATAGTACAGATTTCAGATACAATGGCAGGAGAGACGAGCCAACCTACAGCCACGCTGACACAAACCACATCTCATCTGTCTCTGAGCTCATGCTGCATATCTCTGCTCGTGTTGTGCATGTGTAAGGGACTCCTGGTAGGTGGACGGGCTCTAGTGCATAGTGTACTTGTGCTCATAGTGTTGTGGAGTGTAATGTGGCTCACGACCTGCGCTGTTCATCATCCTCTCACTTTTTTCCCTCTCAGGCTCTGCGAGAAAGCAGACAAAAAATGAACGCCAAATCATTGGTTACAAAAGACATATCAACTAAATCGGTGACTTGGCAAAGTGATTGCTGACCACAGGCGTGTGATTCATCTCAGGACGTGGTGTATCTCTTGCCGCTCATTGTGCACTGTCTAAAGCTTTATAGCTCCGCTCGGTTTGCTGTCTCATCGGTTCACTCCTTACATATCTCTCTGTGGTTTCCTCCTCAGATCCCCAGGGTGTGTCACATAACTGCATATCCTTACCTCCTCTCCGCCTGTGGCCACTTTTAACTGTGCATTCCTACTTTACCATCTTCCTCACTGTACTGGTATATGTTTGACAGGTTTTCTGAATGTGCCAAAACGTTTTTAGCTCAGTTACATCACATAGCTTGCATTCAATCTTGGTTGGTTGGTGTAACAGACACCAGCAGTTCTCCGCACAGCAGAACGCAAGGACTGTTATTTAACAGTCACTGGTATTCTGCTCTTGTGCTTGTGTTTTCTAATAATTACATGCAATTAGATATCGCTGCGTTGGAATGTGGAAAACTGCAGCCTTTAATTCTCAGTTGATACCCAATCATTTTCCTCAAACAGCAGCTGCAGTTTAGTGCAGATCAGATTCACTGCATCCCTCTCTATAATTCAGAAAAATGGGAGACACAATTTGGATCTTCTATGGAAGCATTATATGAGGTCAGTGAGAGTTTATGACCACACTGTGAACTGTAAGCTCTGAGCTTGTGTCTTCCTGATTTTGCTTCTTCCAGGTGATGATACAGAACAAGAAGATTGACTTGAGCCACGTGACCTCCAAGTGTGGCTCTCTAGACAACATCCATCATCGGCCAGGTAACCGTCAGTCTGTACTCATTCAGGGGGAAGTGAGGGGTAACACTGCGGTTAATAGCAGTGGAATAAAGGTTAGAGAAGCACTTTCACGACCAGAAGGTTGCCAGTCTCTAACCTTGGAACTTGAATTTATATCAGGAATGTCCAGCACTCTTAAGGTGTTTTCACATATATATTTTTTTTTTACATGAACCAAACTCAGTCCTCTGAAGATGGACCAAAAAGTGGACCAAAAAAAAAAAAAAGCTGAGTCACCACTCTCAGTCTGTTTAGAGGGCTGAAAATGACTAAGTGTAAAAACACCCTAAAGCACTGCCTCGGTGAACTTGAACAATGTGCTTATCTTTCCTGAGCTGTTCAGACTGTGGTTTTACCAGGCAACTCCCAGGTCTGAATGTGTGTGTGTGGTTAGAAAAACAAGGCACACAATGGGATAGCAACTGTTAACTATGACCTGCAAGGGTTAGGAAATCGCAGCATCCAGTTGCACTTTGTCTGGTAGTTTTACATTTTCTCCCACTAAAGGACACTATATACTCCTAGCATTAATATGCTAACTTTGTAAGGGCTAATGGACAGCTAGCAGGTTATTATTTAAAAAATAAACCCAGACAGTTTGATGCAGGAGGGGCTTGAGACACACCGAAGGGATTTATTTTGCAGTGATGACCTGCTTGCTGTACATTGTTCCGCTTATTACGTGGCTACTTATTAAAGAAATCATTAATGTTTACAAATTTGTAGGCAATGGGGCAAGATTTTGGTATCGAAAGTGTTCTGGTTTCTGTTTGTAGTCCATTTGTAGTCCCACTAGGATTGAGAATCACGTTTGAGCAGCAGGTAAACAGTCCGAAATGCAGTCTCCAAACCAATCAGCACAGTTAGCTTCTTATCAACCTTGTAAAACAAATTATCTGCGTTCATATGCAGATCAGTTTAATAAAGAAGCAGTATAAAGATTAGCTGAAATGGCCGCCGCATAAAGAGGAAGTCGTTGCTCAGATATCTGCTGGCTAATCGGATCAGCCCCGAGGATTAGCCCTCGCCCCCAGAGGCTTATCTCCGTCAGACCGATAGCCGATGGGTTTCAAGATTGATTGATTGATTGATTCATTCATTCACTATCAGTAACTGGGTGAGAGGCAGGGTACACTCTGGACAGGTTGCCAGACTGTCACAGAGATGACACATAGAAACAGACAACCGCACAGAAGGGTCCCAACCGGCTGACGGGTTCGGACTTGAAACCCTCTTGCTGTAAGGTGACAATGCTAACCATTGCGCCACCATGCTACCATGGTTCTGAGATAGAGAAATCAATAATGTGACCAAAAATATTAATCTAGAATGACTGTATTGCTTCTATCAATCAGACTAGCACATTCGACAAAGCCATGTCATAAATCTGGATATCAAATCTGAAGCAGGAAGAATGCACGTTAATGCAAGGTACAGGTATAGAAAGCACATTGTGATCCAGATGTGATGGCATCATCATCATCATCATCATCAAAAGCTCCATGTTGTAGCATTGGCTGGCAAGTTTTCCCTCTGAAAAGGAGATTTTAAAAAAAAAATGTAAATGCAAATGCCCATGGATCGGACGTCATTCTCCAGATAATATATCCAGATGTAAATGAGGTGTAGGTGTAATACCTGTATACGGCGTGATAGCAAGCCATGAACTTTAATGCACTGTAGCGGTTTGTTAACTGGCAATAAAGTGCAGTCTAATCCAATTTAAATAACGAATATAATTTGCAGTTTATATTTAACTCCTGAAATAACAACACTCCAGTCCGACGAAGCTCTGATCTGTTGAAGCACGCAGCAAACTACATTTGGATTGACAGCTCCATGTATCCGTCCGCAGGCGGCCGAATGTGGGAGGTGTTGTGATTCCTGGCGGCCTCCCTGTGTTCTGTGTTTCTAACCTGAGTGTGTGAGTGTGGAGCAGGATGCTGATGAAGTGTTGATGAACTGAATTGGGTCAAACACGGAGAGGGTTATGCATCCAATTTAGATTTTTCATTCCAGTCACTGACAGTGAAAGAACCAAAAAATCGTGCAGACTGTCAATGATGTGTGCTCTGTTTATTAATGATGTTGCACCCTTCAGATGTTCATTGGGTGAGGCAGGTCTCAGGACAGTGTTTTTATAGTCAGAGTTTGAGTTGTTGCAGAAAATTGATATCGTCAATTACCTCAAAATTGTTCTTGAATAAGTGTACTTTCCACCACAGGAAATTGTGTAAGGTTTACACCTTTTGATGCCTTGATCACCAGATATTAAATTATACTCACCTCCACTGTCTATAAGAGTCTTTCTACATAATAAGATAATAACCAGTGGTAATGTATACACAGATTTTTCCAGTGGTCCTTCAAGTAATCACTGTTGGAAGCAACAAGATTACTGTTGACCAGAAACATCACAGACCTATTTTTTGATAAAGCACTGAAAAGATTTAGGGACGCTGCCAGCAGGGATTCTGAATGACAGACCCCTTGCTGTTTTGCTGTGAGGTGTGGAAGCCCCCCTCTCCCACATGGCGTTGTGGTGACTGCTTTAGATCCTGCAGCTCCCTCTGCTGGTCTCTTTCTGTCTGTCCATTTAAAGCCTTTATTCAGTGAGGGCTTGCTGGGTGTGCGCCCTCCTACAGAACAGCATATGCATTTACTTTCCCAATGAAATCTGTTCCAACAGACCAGCGTTTTGTGCAACTGAACTTTCCAACCACCTTGACTTTTCTTTCAGCTTTAGTGAGTTGCTACCATCTGTGTGAACCTGAGTCCATATGTAATCTGGATTCTCTGTATAGTTTTTACACTTCCTTTACCTCTCTCCCAGGGGGCGGTAACGTGCGTATAGAGACTGTGAAGTTGGACTTCAAAGACAAAGCCCAAGCCAAGGTGGGTTCTCTGGAAAATGCGCACCACACTCCTGGTGGAAGCCGTGTCACGGTGAGTGTCAGCTCCATGCTCCAAATCCATCACTTAAAGGAAAACAAGTTTTTGAGGCATTGTCTTATTAGCAAATGTAGATATAGATACTAGCAAGAAAAACTCTCTCCTCATTTTTGGAGTGTAGTGTCCAATACAAGTCTTGGTGGACAGACTTTTTAGTTGCCTAGGGGGGGCCTATAGGGGAACACCACCCAAATTAAGAATTCCAATATGTTATTTCCATGGCCTAGGAATGCTCACCCAGTATTTGTGAACATGAGACACTCTCTTTTAAAGCCAGAAACCAGAGAAGTAAGTCTCAAACTTGTGATGTCAGTGTATAAAGTCTGGAGCTGCTTCATAGACAATGAATGGGAGTCTGATTTTATGGACCCTTGGAATGTTTGTTTTCTTTTTTACACCCAAACGATCTTTATTTATTGTAGTGTTCTCAGTTGTGAAACTAAAAATGTGCCCATACACACTGTCATCTATAACATTTTTCCCAGTTCATTGTTTATGGCAGTGGTTCCCAACTAGTGGGTTACCATCCAAAGGTGGGTCCATTCTGAATGGCCCGCAAGTGACTCCAGCAGTTTTTATTCTGAAGTGCCACTTCTTGCTGTAGAGTGAGCGACTAACGGACACCTACTTGACAGAGACAGCAAACTAGCTTGACGACATGGCCAAACGCAAGTATGACGCTGAATATATTAAATTGTGTGGACTAAGGAGAAATCTGGACCCTGTGTCTTGACCAGTTGGGAACCACTGATCTATAGAGCAGCTCCAGACTTTATACCTTATGACATCATGAGTTTGAGTCATGAGCTTTAGCACTCTGGTTTTAAGATTTGGGAGAGAGTTGTTCAGGTTTACTAGTATTTTTGGATTGTCTTAGACAATAGGAATAACATGTATGAATTTTGAAAATGGGTGTAGTTCCCCTTTAATTTGTCAATTTACCTGTAAAGTGACGTGACTGTAGCTATAATAGCTTCCATATTTGAATTAACATATCAGGGCCCATCTATAAGGATTGCCTGATTGCCCAGGGCAAGTAAAAAGCCACATCAGGTTAGGAAATAAAGCAACTTGCTTGCCCAATCGAGCAAGTGGTAAAAAAAAAAAAAGTAATTACAAACCTTATTTTTCCAGAGCCAATGATGGAAGTAGCTTAGGAGTGAGACGTCTCGCTTCCTTCTCATCTCTGTTGAGAGTTGTCCATGGGCAGTGCCAATCAGGCACTCACGACAAAATGGCGAAAGAGAAAGTTTATGAGCTGATGTGCAAGCAAGTTTTAAGTTATCCTAAAAACAGTAGTTTAGTTGGTTGGTGTTAGAGGTGGTGGGTGAAATAAAGATTAAACATGACAATTAACTCAAGTCTTTATTGCTATTTGATAACTGCCAGTAAATAATACATTTATATAGGGATTTTCTGACCCATTTGCCCAACCCTGTATTATTGTAATCTTAAAAGATATGTGCATAGTTTGGTATACTGTAGGGTATAACTGTCAATGTAAATTAAAGTGGATTAAGTATGATTGTAATATATCTAAAGAATTTGTTTCTAACAAGCCAATCTTCCAAAAACTTGTATTCCTTTATCTGCCCATGAGGGTGGCAGCAGAGGTATAGTATGCGCCGCAATCAATAAATAATGTTGAGGTAATTCAACCACCCAAGTTCATCTAGTATTCAGGCTCAGGCTCTGATCTGAAGTCATCACAGAATTAAGAGCAGCAGCCACTGAGTAAAGTCTAGAAAAAAGACTGGTGCTTTTTTCAAAAATTTAAAAGTCATAGTTGTTCTACATGATATGAAAATGATGCATTTCTTCTTCTCCATCCTCATCTCACGTCACACCACCCGCCTCTGTTAGATTGAGACCCACAGGCTGTCGTTTCGCGATCACGCCAAGGCACGAGTGGACCACGGAGCTGACATCGTTGTCCAGTCGCCGGGCCTGTCCGGCTCGGTGTCTCCCCACCGCCACCGGGACAGCCACCTATCATCCTCTGGCAGCCTCAACATGCTAGAGTCACCGCAGTTAGCAACCTTAGCTGAGGATGTCACTGCAGCTCTGGCCAAGCAGGGTTTGTGAACACTGGATCTCTGGGTTCCTGCTCTGCACCCTGGACATCCTCGCCCTGACTGATCCCTTCAAACTTTTCTGCCCACTCCTGCCACCCTGAGGCCAACCTCAGCTAAATCACAGCCTCTAAACATCTCCACTTCCAGATCCATCACTCAACTCTTACGTAGAGACTCGAATTAGGAGCTACTGTACTTTGATCTTCTTTATTTCCCAAATATGTGCTATTTCTGGTTTCGTTGGCCTCTCTCTCTTTTTGAATGATGTTGCATAGAATAGTTCAGTCTGAGCACTGGTCCTAGACAGTGGCATATACAAAGTGGGTGACCAGGTGATGGCTTAACTGGTCCTGGATCAGTGTTATGAAGAAGCTACAGCCTTTTTTTCTACATTAAATAAGAAGTAATGTGGCCAGCACACCGTGCAGCACGTGTTGTTCTTGCTCAGTAAACGTGCATGGACGCCAAACCCCCTCTAACAAACCAAGCATCCTTACTGCAAGTCATTCTTGTCATCCAGTATATAATATATTTAACAAATATATATAGAAACATGTATAAAAAAATACAAGTTCTTTGCCATCTACATGTCCGAAAAACATTTTAAAAGGAAGTGACAATATGGCGATAAAATATACCTGTAAAATTGCATTACTGCAAGAACTAGGTCATGTTATGACAAGCATGTATTGATTCTAATATTAAAAGAGGCTATTTTGTAATCTAAAAAACAGGATTTTAGTAAGTTATTTCCTCAATTATTGGATAAAGATTAAACAAGTTCATGTTTTGTAGTTATTAGTTGTTTACAGTGTAATGCTTGGTGACAATGTCAGACAGCTGATTTGGTGTTGCTAAGGAATGCATCTCAGTCCTGTTGAAGAGCATCCTACACTTGTACCCGCTCAGTAGTTCAATATAGACGCCTGTTTATACATCAAAACAATATTAAACACCGGAGCTCATCCCAGAAACCTGCAGCTACAAGTATCTCGTCTTAACAGCTGCAGATGTTGAGCTCCCGTGAATGAATAGTACAGATGTTCCTCGGCTAACACAGGCTGACGCTGCACTCATCAGGACTGTCTGTTGTCTGAACCACAAAGGGATGACGCTCCAAATTTGCGACCTGAGATTTAGCAGGAGATGCAGCTACTCTGAAATCTGTCTGTGCGTGTGCGTTTTTGGTGCAGATCCCATGCCGTTTTACGACGTATGCTACCGTATCTGGATGTTTTGTTGCAATATGTGGGAGAAGAAAGTGGAAATTAAAAAAAAAATATTTTGAAAAATCCATTAAAAAGACAATTCATGAAGAAAAATAAAAACCGACCGAGAGAACTCGGATCCTGTTACATCTGTTAGGAAAAAAAAGTGTTTGGGTGATCTAGTTTCTTTTTCAGACACCATTTGTGGTATATCCTGCCTCCTGCCTAATTACTGCCCCCACCTGCGACTGTTTGTTTGCTTCTGTGTTTTTTCTGCATACCCCATCTCCGTGTGCCCCCTCCCCACCTCCTGCTCCACCCTACAGCAACTGTAAATGTATTTAAAAGGTCAAGTAGATGTACGCAGTTTTTCTCTTGTTGATATGACACCAATTACAATAATTAATGACAATAAAAAGGTCAAAAAGTGAGACTGGGCTACTGTTTTCTATTTAGATTACAAGACATACTGTTAAAAATCAGAAGTTTGGTGCATGGAAATACATTTATTTGATTTCTTGCTGAGAGTTCAAAGAGAAGATCGATACCACTCTCTCATCTGTACAGTAAATATGAAGCTACAGCCTGCAGACAAGTAGCTTAGCATAGCTTAGCTTAGCTTAATTTAGCTTAGCTTAGCTTAGCTTAGCGTAAAGACCAGAAGGGGGAGTTGGCCAAGCTCTGTCTAAATGTTTCCAAATTCCAGCAACCAGCACCTCTTAAGCTCACTAATCAAGACAATGTATATAGTTTGTTTAACCTTCAAAAACTGTATATAAAAAACTGCAAAGCTAACCGACTGTTTGTTGTAGCTTGACAGAGGGTGCACATTTTTGTGTAACTCTTGACAAGAAAACAAGAGTTTACAGATCCGTAAAATATCTTAAAAGACATTGTATTAATTATTTAAAAAATAAACCTTAATTGGTATTTAAATGTCTTAAATCAATCTTTCAGAAATCCCCAAAATGCTAAGACATGGGGAGAAGGATCTTCTAAATCTTTTTTCTCCGAGCTTGCATTGTAAATCTTAAAATAATTGGTCATTTTAAATAATAATGATAATAATAATAATAATTTACCCAGTGCCTCTTGCATTAATGTCACCAGAAAGTTATGTTTTATGTACAATAAATATTTGGGCAAAAAGCTCCCTAAAGTATTTAATTTTTTAATTTAATTTAATTTCATTTTATTTATTTGTTTTCTTGTTTGTTTTGTTTTTTTGGATTTGTAAAATAGGTCATCAATTTAATTCCAAGTGGCAAAAAAAGTCTTAAAAATTCTTAAATCCCACTTTCCTTAAGCTGTAGGAACCCCGGACTAAGCTTGTTTCCTGAAATGTCAAGCTATTCCTTTTCTGCCTGAATTAATTATGCAAATGTTTTGCATCAAATAAATAGAGTCAGAAATCTGGAAATAAAATGGGAGTTTGTGAAAAGTTTATTGTGGCAGATGGTACAATAAGTTAAGACCTAGGGATGGGTTGGGTGAGGAGTGTATTCATTTTGATGGCCAGTCCTGGGCCAAACCAGTCACTTCACCGGCAGATAGAGAGCCAGCCAGACCGCAAAGTGACAGGAGGGGGTGGTCATCGTTATCCCACCTTCCCCTCCATCACTGTTCCACTTTGAAAACCAGTGATGATAGAAATCCCCAATGAGACAAGGGGGGACTTGGCTGAAGATGAGGAGAGAAACCTCTCGTGGGAAATCAGGATGGCTTCCTGAACAGCAGGAGGAGGAGGAGGAGAGAAAAAAAAGCACCAGTTGGACAAAAGGAAAAAAAAACGTGTAGAACAAAACAAAAGAAGGGTTCAGGAAATATGACATCTCATAGTCCTTTGTTCCCCCTGCTTCCTCAGATGGTACAGGAAACAGCGAGTAGATGTCGCGACACCATGGGGTCTGCACATATACGATGCTCACCACCGCAGAGACAGGGTCCTTACACCGACATGATGTGCTTGACAAAGGCTGGGGGTGACGACCAGGACAGCACAGAGAGGACAGAAGAGAGGGAGAGGAGAAGAATGAGTAAACTATCCAATAAAATCAGTTTAAAAAAATCAGTTGTTAGCTATAGCTGAAATGTATGCACCATACAAAATACTGTATATTCACTTTATTGGAATATCTCTGTAAAGTGGAGGATGACGTCACACTTTATAGATTAAAGGGGCAGTTCACACCAAAGTCAAAAATACATATGTTTCCTCTTACCTGTGGTGCAATTTGTCAGTAAAGATTGTTTTCATGTGAGGAGTCGAGTGTGGGAGATATCGACTGTAGAGATGTCGGCGTTCTCTTGAATATAATGGAACTAGATGGCACTCGGCTTGTGGTGCTCAAAGTGCCAAAAAATTTTTTTTTGAAAAACTCAACAGCAATTTCTCGATCCAGAAATCATGACCTAGTTACTCAAGATAATCCACAGACCTTGTTGTGGGCAGTTTCATGTAAGAACTATTTTCTTTCTACCAAATGACGCCCACCAACTGTATTACCAGGCAGAAGAAAATGTGCATCCACCCGCTTTAAGCTCCACAAGCCGAGTGCCATCTAGTTCCATTATATTCAAGAGAAGGCAGACATCTCTACGGGGGATATCTCCAACATGTGGCAACTCATACCAAAACAATTTAGATGGATAAACAGCCCTACGGGTAAGAGGAAAAATATGTATTTTTGATTTTGAGCTGAACTGTCCCTTTAAGTTTTCATTTAAAGGGGCACTCCTGTGATTTAATAAAGATCTTTCATAAAGATAAGGAGAAAAGAGATGGTCAAATTCAAAGCAGCAAAGGGGTAGATATCCTGATTTTTAGTCCCTGGTTAAAAAAAAAAAAAAAAAAAGATGGATCCTACATGTCCCATAATACAGCTGTTCGGCATCTTTCCTGATGGTGACATAATTTTCAAATTTTGTAAAGTTGCTTCCAGAGCCAAAGAAGACTGACAGATTGAGTGATGGATTGAGTGATGTTCTCCAAGTAAGCTGAACTTCAGAGGTAAAAATTGTGCAGTGCCACCTTAAATTAATATAAGATTTATATATATATATATATATGTTGCACACTTAACAAATGATGTGAAATCTAAAAAAGTTATAGCAGCATATATTATTAGTCATAATGTCGTAATTTGTGGCTCACCCTCATAGTTGACACAGCCGTTCTCATCCTCCTGCCCTGCCATGAGAGCATCAATCTCAGCCTCAGTCATCTTCTCTCCTGTAGGGGGAGGCAGAGGATAACCAGCATTAATAACACACGCACACATACACACACACACACACACATATGCAGAGAGGCAGACGACTGCCCTTGACCTAACTCACCCAGTGTTGACAGCACAATACGCAGCTCAGCACCCATCACTGTGCCGTTGCCCTCCTTGTCGAAGACGCGCAGACCCTCAACGTAGTCCTCGTATCCGGCCTTGTTTGGGCTGTTGATGATGGTCTGGAGCATGGGGAGGAAAGCCTCGAACTCTACTCTCTTGTTGGCCATCTCTGCATGATGGGAGACAATGATGACAGTCAGTTACATCCAAGGAGTGAACAAGCCCTGCAGGTCACAGACAACAGGCCCCACACAGACAAAATCCTTGTCAACACGTTTTCAACATCAGTTATTTATCTCCACCTTTCTACTACAGGTGCTTCTCCTCTACAGGTGTTGTGACAGTTTGGACAGATGCTTTTTTTCTGCTTTATTTTTCATTTATAATCTTATTTGGTAGTTTTGAGTGTGCCACAGGGCAGAGTGAGGCACAGTTCTGGTTCTGTCAGTGATGCATGGTGGAGCTTCATGGAGCTATTTTGGTTTAAAGGTTACAGAGATTTACACTTGCATCATCGCCCATGTGCACAGACTAGACCGGAGACATATGTCAAAAATACAGCTATGTGCTTTTTTTTTTAGGATTTTACCAAGCAATATGTGTGATTAAAAATCTGAGGAGGAACACCAGACCAGTTCTTTAATGGAATAAAAACATCATTGCACTGACCTCTAAGGGTTCATAGATTCAAATTTGTTGTATGTCTGACCTCATTCACCATCCTCGTCGGGTGTGCACACGTGGGTCAATGTATGCAAAAAGGTGCAGCACATACAGCATGTGAGTATTTTATCTGTATTTGTTTTATTTCAGGAGATTTTTCTGACAGATCTGCTCCATGTTTTCTCTTTACAACCATAAAAACTCATTTCAAAAGCAAAGAAAACAGCTGATTTTGTTGAACATGACTGATTCTAGCCACAAAAGCAGTCCCTAGATAATTTCTTCTTCCTAATCCATACCTACTTTAACATTACACCAGGTGCCTCTTTAATAAATGAAACACAAAAACTGTCACAACACCATGAATGAAAACCAAGTGTCACATCACCTTGGTTACATCTGCCCTCTCAAAGACAAGATTTAACTATGTGTATTTGCTAGTAATGCTTAGTACACACATTACAGATCAGCTAATACCCATGCACAGATCATTCATTTTATTATTATCATCAGACGGACTAGAAGTAGTATCTCATATGCCAAGTAGTCTAATTATTTGGGACTACTTGAACTATTTTTTGCAAGAAATGATCAAATTCAAACATAAAAATAGGACAAAACATCCAAAATAATCTTCAAAACCTTAAATCCATAAACATCTTCAACTAATTTCAGTGATATATGAAAGGCTAAATATATATGTCTCACCTTCAGCGGAGGGGTTTCCCAGGATCTTGTTCACCTCCTTGTTGGTGGGGTTCTGTCCCAGAGCACGCATGATGTCAGCGATCTGGTTGTAAGCCACCTTGTTGTCACCCACCCTGTCAAACAGACCAAAGGCCTCCCTGTAGTCTGCAGAGTGGAGGGAGAAGAGGATATTAATGTTTTCATATTCATGAACTGGCTTGTGTTTGTAAGTTGAATGCCTCAGCTGCACTTTGTGATGTCATCATTTTGTGTGATAGAATATTTTAATAATATTGCGTAAGGGACTTTAAATTATTCAGCAAATAAAATGCATTTGGAATTCATTTCATGTGTTTTGTTTTATATTAAATACACATCATTATCTTATATGTAAAATGCATTTTTCCCCACAATATGAAACAGTGGCTAAGTATAGTCGTGGCTATAGCGAGCCTGCCAGCAGGTGGAGGCAGCTCCTCTACAATCTAACAAGGGAAGAATACAACAAGGGCAAGACGTCTCTATAGGTTGTGGTATTATGGACTGGCTCCTGCTGAGCTCTGTCACCACTCATACTATTTCTATCGCAGCTGTCCCTTCTCTCTCTCCCTCTCTCTCTGCAGTGCTATGGACTCTTTTAAAAGACCACCTTGGAATTGATAAACATAGCTGAGAATATGAGCCCCCTCCTTTTAAAGGCAAGGGCCCCTCTGTGGGTGTGCTGAGTAGAAGTAGGGAATGCTGACTGCAGCGTAACAAGCAGCCGACCAGACGACAGGTCTGGTCAGGTGGCGCCCCGTCCAGGGTCAGCTGGGACCGATAGCACACAGGTTTTTCCTCCTATCAAACACTACACTATCATTTAACACCTTTAAGGGATCCTTCTCACTGAAATGAGCTGCTGATTTTTTAACTCTTAACAAATGGTTTCTCAATAAAAATGTCACTTAATATCAGGACAAAGGGATTTAATGAAGCCTTCTCCAGTTCTGGATAACATGTAATATGATGTGAGTGCTTTTTAACTTGAAACCAGCTAATTTACTATGTTTAATTTACCTGCTCTGGTTGAATGCGACAATTAGCACAATCAGCTTGTGTTTGTTTGGAATGAAAGCCTGCAGATGTTTAGCTCTGGATGCACAATACACCACTTTTGTTTGCACTTTGACTCACAGAATGTGGCATTGACTACAGCTGACAATCACTTGATGTGTACATTGTTCATTTTTTATATAACTTAGCAAGGTATTCAGAGAAGAAACTATGATTTTGTTTAAAGGATGCTTTCTTTCTCAAACCATGCTGATAACTTTAAAACACACAAATGACAGGCGACCATCTGTCATGACCACTTTAAGATCCAGAGCCAAGTCTGTTGCAGGTTGGCATTCTTTAAGGGAGGGGCAGTGCCACTCTCGTAAAACATATCAGCCTCCTGCAAAGTGATTTATTGTATTTGATGTTTTTTTCCGTTTGCCAGACAGCAGGCCAAGCGATATGTACGAGAAGGATGGGTTAGGTTTTATGGACTGTGTGGAGTGTCACATGGCAGCAAAGGTAAAATGAGGTGTACTCACCATCAATCTGGTCTGCGCTGAATTCCACCTAGGAGCCAAAACAAAGCAGCCACATTAGTATGACATATAAAAATGCAACAGTTTTGATACGCCATTTAATCAACACCACCAACCACTTGTATTCAAGAGGCCGGCACAACCAGGCATTCACACTTAATCTGGACTAATTAATCAGGTCTACACTGGGGATTAAACTTGTCTCTTTGCCAAAATTAGCTTCACATAGTGGCACCCGATCTGTGGAGGTCCATCTTTAGCTACATTAACATGTCCACATTTGGTGTCACCCTGCATAGCCATCACACATTAGGCACCACTCTGTTAGTCCAATCCGGACAGCAGGGGGGGCGTGGTCTAAACCATGGTGAGCTATCCATGGTTCTAGTCATTCCACTCAGTCATCTGTGCAGTACAGTGTAGTCCTTCAAACTCTTGCTTCTCCTCCTCTCATTGACTCACTCTGGGCTGTCCATCTACTCAGAAATGTT